TTTCGTCATTTATAAATCAAGAGAAAAATTGAAGAGGAGTTTCTAGAGATGTAACCTCTGTTGACAGTGCTTTATTTCCTAAAAATACGATTTGGTTGTCATTCCCGTCTAAATGGTTTTTTTTATATGACCTCCAAAGAGCCACGCCAGAACTAGGATTCATTTCTATTAATGAAGATGAACCTTGTGCTTTATCCTCAACCAAAGTTGGGTTTCCTTGGTCGACTTGGTTGAAGTGGCGTTGGGTAATAATTAATGTCATTTTCATCACCAATATCTTCTTCGTTTTCTGATATTTCACCGGTTTTAAAGCAGCTAAGTATGTTTCTATTATATTAGGCCTCATAATTTTAGAGATTGCGCTGATATTTAAAAAAAAGCCTCAACACCTGCCACCAGTATCATGCACACAAATTAACAATAAATATAAATAATGTCGTCAACGCGCAATGTAGACAAATGGCAACATAGCTGTTGCAGCACATAATATGCAAAGATATAATACCGAATAGCTTCTTGTAATAAAATATCAGAACCTTACCTTTTTTCAATACGTTGATAATAATTTTTGGTTTGAGAAACAACGTATTTTATTATTAAAAACATCGGTAGATGAAAATCTTACTGTGTCCAAATTCTTGATAAAATCCATTTTTTAATTCGTAGATGGCAAAAGTCACGGATGCGTCCGTAGAGCATAGCGTTTTGTTTATTTTTTTTAATTTCGCTCAGTGTTTGTAGACGTTTGGCAGCAATGCGCACATCTAAGGGTTAAATGCATATAATCGTCTGTTGCCTTCGTGGAACATTGACATAAAATGTAATAAAATACAAATATGGGATTTTGTGACAATATTTTAGTTTGTTATAGTTATGTCACACAGAGGTATAAAGGGTTAATTAGACATAAGACTTGTATTAAAGATCATAGCAATACATTTCATATAATTTTATTAGCCCTAAGAAAGCCCATAAGGACTGTCTTTCATAGGAAAATTTACCCCAGTTTTTTGTTATAAATATGTATTTTTGCGTTAAAATAAAGCTAATTGCGCTCACTTTGGTACTTGCCGGCAAACTGTTATACCTTCATTTAGTTTTTTTTTTGTATTTAAGAACTAGATGTTATTGTTTTGAGAAATAAATTCCTAACGTACAGTTCAATACAATTACAATAAAATACAAGAAAAGTTATTAAGCAATTTAATTTAAATGGCAACAGATTAATTATGAAGTTTCACTCGTTAAAACAAAGTTGAACTCATTATTTTTGAATGCTTAAAAAGTATACTCTTCGGAGGTTGAAAATGTGTACCGTTTTAATACAACATAGCAAACCATTTGTCATCATCAAAATGGTGCGCTGACAGTCGGACGTAGTTGCAATATTCTCTCTGGCTGCAGTCGTATATACTTGTGGTTTGGACAACCAGAACTGTTATTTTTCAAAAGTGGGCCGTGATAAGAGTCGGACCATCTTCGGTCATACTAACTTAGATTTCAGTTTAAGTTAGTACCTCAGCTAGTTCTAGTCTATAGTGATACAAAGAATCATGTCCAGTCTTGACCTGAAAATTTTTTAACGCGTCTAGTGATGTAAAATATTTTATAAAATTAAATTGTTTTGCTTATTTCTCATCGTATAATTGAATTTTCAAACAGAGCCGAAAAAAGTAATGCTACTATGATTATCATTCTCAATAGACTTGGAGACGTAACGTGTTTACAATGGCCCAAAGGCCCAGAAGCCGTGGCAAAATATATTAAAAAAAAACTGTTTTACACGTTCCGTTTCATAGACTACAATAAATTGTTAATTCGTCATGTGATTTCTGAATGTTCAAAATAATGCAAACTACGAGCGGACGTACGGACACCTCGAAAATTGAGACGGCACTGATTTTTTCACTCCCATTTCCTCTAATATAAAGCGAGTTACGGGAGGCTAACTGCTCCATAGTAAATATATGAACAGCTGGGTACGATTTCAGCTAAAAAATGAATGATATTTATTCTTAGATTATTGTTTTTGGTTTGTATCAGTAAAAGAGGTAATGGTGAATTATTATTTATACTTTCATTTCACGTTATAACCAAAGATATTTAGCCATAAATAGCCAAAAAATTAAAATAGAAAAGGCGGTCTTAGATGTTTTTACCACACTTGACGATTTTTGAATTGAAAACTTTTTTAGCATCGTTGTGATTTGAAACTGGATGAAACGAAAAAACGCCAGTAAAAAGAGACAAACGTTTATATCTATAGGATTTAGTCTGAGTGAGAATGAGATAGAATACAGTGTAGTAAGCAAAATAGCCTAATGGCAGGGTGCGGATCGCGAACTCAAAAGGTTGTGGGTTCGAATCTGTCATTTGATTATTATTTTTAAACTTATCTTTATGCGGTGCTTTAAAGATAGCTAATATACATTTTAACTGTTAAAATAAACAGCTAAAATTTAACAAATTTATTAAATAAATAAAATTAACCATATTAAATAAAATTATCTTAGTCAATCCCTTGTCATTACAATTGACGATTTCATAATCGATTTACGTTAAATTATTTGTGTTTATTTATGTACCACTTTGAGAGCATTTATTACAAAGCATGAATGAGCAATGCAAGAATGAAGTAGATGGCGCTATTACAAATGTTAGTTAATACTAGGTACACTAGTGGATAAATTATGATAACGTTAAAATAGTAGTTGTATATCGAAAAAAGAAGAGAGTGAAAGTGTTTATATTATCTGTGAACGTACGTTGAATTTGTTGAGATGGTGTAGTTAGATATATTGGTATTTAGTTTTTCGTAAATCATAGATAAATAAATATGTAGCAAGCTATCGTAAATTGTTATTGCGTAACAACGTATCGGCCACGTTTATTGTTTTAGTACTTTCATTTGAAGGTTTCACTTCTGCCGTGTGTGAACTGCACACATGTTTTTTTTTCTCTAAAATCAAGATTTTTTTTTATAAGTATATATACGCGGTAAGTGAAGACTCATCTATTAAATAATTGAGATTTTTTGTGGTGTCATTTAATAAAGTAAGTTCTTCAATATTTTTAAAAATCGTAACTGCCTATTTTCGCCTTTCTTAAGGACCGGTTTCTTAATATTTAGTTAATATTTAGTTCCACAGGCGTTAGAAAAAAACATAATTTCATATACTTGAGCGAGACGAATGATTGTTTGTTTTTAAATCGCACAGGGCCAGCTACGTTTTCTTTTGGTTACTAATTAATATGAATTTAAACACATGCAAAAAATTCAGCCCGCTTTTTTTCTCAACGTTAGGGAGTCTATTTTTTTAAATGGTTGTCCCTCGACTATTTAATAAAAAGGTATCTAAGGTATCATGTAAAACATACATACACAAAATACAGTCGCATTGACTCCTTCAGGAAATAAAGCAAGAGCAAGAGGGTAATGTGTTCATCAGTCTATATATGTCGCGCCACAAAGGAACTAACATTCCTCATTCCTTTGTGGCGCTCTAGAGACCAAACATGTGGATCGATTCTGATAATTCTTACATCATTCCATGTGATTAATCTTGTGTGATCAAAATGGCGACAGCCAGACGCCATATTGTGAAAAAGAAAAAATGAAAATCTACGAACTGCGTCAAGCGGGGTACCATTAATAAGGTTTTTGAAAGTCACCTTTAGGTTTTTCTAATCTTATTCAGTTTGGATGTTCATTTAGGATCTATAACGTTTTAAAGTTGGTTTGCAACCATTCTCACTTTTTTCAAAACTTCTCATAAAAATCGGGACTTATATGTGAGACTATTTAAATTAGCAATCGATAATTTAAATAATTTAAACGAGAAGTTGAGAATTCCAACGGCTGAACAGACTTTAATAAATGAGGTGTCTATCTATTTTTTATAGGATAGGGTGACAAACGAGCACACAGTCCACCTGATGGTTAGTGGTTGCTGTGGCCCATAAACAACTACATCTATCCTCGATTACGAATCAAAATGCAGATGCGTTGTCACCCCTGAGGACTAAGATGGAATGCCTGGTTTTCAGTAAAAAGGGTCTCCAGTTCTCTAACATTTGTTTAAACCGTGCCATGGTTACAGGCTAGGTTTCGTTCTCATCAAAACAAAATCGCGCCTATGTATTAATTGATGTTTAATGCAGTCGGATATATTTTAAAAGAAATCATCTGTCGACAGAGAGAGGGCGCAAAGGCATGCAAGATATGCTTAGTATACTTAGAAGAGATGGGGATGTCCTATCATTTGCAGTCGCATTACGTGCGACATGTTTGCCGGCTGTGCGGACACACGGAACCGACTTCTCGCCTAGCTCAAGCGCACGCACAAAAACACCTCGCCAGGAAACCGCCCTGCGCCCTCATCCACAAGGTTAGTGCCGTAGTGGACAGCGCTCATTGTGCAATATGCATGCACTTCATATACAGGCTGTTAGTGTAAACACCGTTATCCTTGAAACCAGTGGTTTGTTTTCACTTGTAGAACGTAAATTCAATGAATTTAAAAAAATGCTATTTTCTTTCATAAAATTTAAAAAGTTTCTGTACGACACCGTCCATAAATTCATGGATACCCTATGTGCCCGAGTGACGTAATCACTGTAAAGATCACCGCCCGCGCTAGCTACCTACACGAAATTCCAATAAAACACAATAGGTAGACATAACCTGTGATGTAACTTTTCCTTCATACTTTCATCCTGGCTTAGGACAGGCAGAAATTAAGGAATTGAGGAAAAACTGTGATTTTACTTTAAAAAAATGTTGTTATTCTTCGTTGAATTTACGTTCTATAAGTGAAACCAAACCACTGGTTTCAAGGATAACAGTGTTTACACTAACACCCTGTATTGTTGTAACACGGTTAAAGTCTACGACATCTATTTTAAACTTCTTTTAGTCGACTCTTAAACATCTGCACGAGATGTGATGGTGAATTTTATCTCTAATGTACATCTCATAACATTTGTTTTACTTAATAAAGGATCTCAAGAAAGAAATGAACGAAGAAGACTCACCATCTAACCCCTCGCCAAGTTCTGGAAAGCAAGTCACGAGGAAGCTATACAAAAATGAAGTGCTTGCGTATAAGTGCTTAGAATGTGATATGTTCTTCCAGTGAGTAATAAATTATTAATAACTATATACATGTATAAGATATTATTAACAAAGATTTAAAAGAATTTATAGCGATTTTAAATAGGAGTGTAGAGAATCTTTTTGATTGGTTTACAGCGAATAATTTAATAATTGATACTAATAAAACAAATGTTATTCTATTTGAGACTACGCCTACGACTACGCCGAGGAGACGCCTAACGCCTTTAATGATATCAGTCACGACATCCTACTATTTATACTTTCACTTTCTATGATCTCGTCTGAGGCTTTGGAGTGGTTCTCATCTTATATTCGAGGCCGCTAGCAGTCAGTTTGCATTGACGAGCCTTAATCAAGTTGGTGTGACTTGCATGCTGGTGTTCCTCAAGATCGATATTCTACCTTCGTTGTTATTTTTAATATTTTTTAAATCTCAGTACCCCAAATCTTCAGTGCGTATATCATTTGTATTCTTATGACCTGCAGTTGTACTCACACGCGACGGTCGACTGTATATCTACAGCAATTGACTCTGTTAATAGGGAGACCTAGGGTATATAGAGAACTTGTCTGACAAGTTTAGCCTTAAAGATAACCCATCCAAATGTCAGGGTGTAATAATGGGTAGCCAACGGATGATTAAAAAAACTGGATTCCACAGCTTTACCACCGATTATTTTAACGATTTTATTTTAGAACTGAGTAATACTGTGGAAAGATCTTGGCTTACACATTGACGTGAAGTCAATGCGTAAGCCAAGATCTTTCCAAGATCTTTCATTTGCGCTATCAAACTCAAGTGGCAAATGTTTGTCAAAAAGTCCCAGGTATATTGCGTTCTCTCTACCGCCTAGATTTTTCTCGGGTCCGGGACCAAGAATATTATTGTGCAGACCTTAATTTTTCCCATTTTGACTGTGATGTGTGTTATTTTGACCTGAATTCAGAACTATTGAAGAAATATGAGCGCCTTCTTAAAACATTTTACAGTGGTAGGCCCAAATACCCCCCCCCCCCAACTTAACGTGGTAGCGGAATCAATAAAAAAACTACCCCAGGAGTGCGCCAGCACCCCCTGGTGACGGAGAATCCCTCGCTGAGCATCCACGACCGTATTCTGAGAGGGGGGGGGGCGCAAGTCCAGTTTGGACTTTGGACATAAGGAAGACCTTCGATTTAGTTCAGCAACTATTGCGAAGTTTTCTCCCTATGGGCTTTACCCAAATTTAAAAATATGCAATTAGATCACCGGTTTTCTTGAAGATCGAATCATCAAGATCGTAATTTGTTTGTTTTTGTATTTGATACATTGTTTCTTTTCCATATCAATCATACGTTACAAATCAGTATAACAAATTGCTATGAGGATGACAGCACTGGTGGTGATTTTACACGGGCGTGCCAGTTTTATTTGAGTGTCGTATGACGAACAAACTTGTGTCTGAATTCGAGTCTGTTACATAAAGTTCCACATTGGGGACGACTAGATCTGATCCAGTTTAACCCGTAGAAGACACAGGTTTGCTCGCTTGTCGTGGAAAAAACCCCTTTGTCGTATCACTTTAATTTAAGCCCCCTTGCTGCCTCGGCCAGCATTGTATGTAATCCTCCGAGTCGACATATCGAGTTACGTTCAATTCCGCGGTCACTTGGAAGATACGGCTAAATTGGCCTTCTAAACATTAGAGCGGGACAGTATTTCATGCTGCCACACCGCTTGCAAATTTACAAGGTGTAAATTCGACCTCACTAGAAATACCGTTCCTAAATATCGGTCGGAGCAATCTAGTGCAAGTTCCTTCCACTTGACCGCATCCAACGAAGGGCGGCCCAAATCGTCGATGACCGAGTTTCTTCTGATCTCGCTCACCGGCGCTGCGAAGAGATGGTGCATCATCTCATGGGAATAGTTCGGATGTTATATTCCACCATCGCACATCTCGATAAAATTCATGATACTATCCGCACCATCTGGTTTCTTAGCGACCACCTCATTGAATCAATGTACCATGCTTTAGTACTATTTTCAACAGACCGAAATATTATTTTAGTTACATTTTATACACTGTCAATTTGACAGTATGTGAAATGGTCATAAAAGGTTACTAAAAAGCAAAGAGTAAAAGAGAAAGAAATATGCAATACAGACTAAATTATTTAGTTTACCCAACAACAAATTGATTTAGTTTTTGTTAATAGCCGCCCTCCTCTCGCTTTCTCACAGCTCCCCCTATAGAATAATATTAGCTCGGTTAATTCTTAAAGCATAATTTATGTTCCAGCACAAGTAAGACGCTAAAAACCCACGATGCGAAATACCACAATAAACAAAGTCTAGAGTGCGATCTTTGTAACAAGCTATTTCTGAATAGAACCACTCTCATCAGGCATCTCAGGTAAGACTGATTTCCTTCATAGCATCGTCATCTTCTTTTTTTAATCATATGTAAAATTCTACTGCTTTAAACCTAGAGCTAGAACTAGATAGACCTCTGCAGGGAGGATAAGACATAATCGTCACGCTCGCTGGTGTTAGATTTAAAAAATATTAAGATTCGCACGAAAAAGCTATAAGATATAATCTATAATTTATTGTTTTACTATTAAATATAGGGTTACAGCAAAAGAATTTAGAATATAACTAATTTAATAAAGATATTAATTGATTTGCAACCTTTCGCTAACTAAATACAATGATGTGTCTTACCTGGATTGCACCTCTCTCCCTCCCTCAAATGCGTGCACCAATCCCGTCACCACTAATCCCAGCCTCAACCACTACTCCCAGCACCACTACTCCCAACACCAATATTCCAGGAAAGACACACCATCGACGATAATACGACACATGTTTCGCCTCTACAAGAGGCATACTCAGGTGATGGTATACTCTACGGCGGCTGTCTACATCACCTGAAGATGCCTCGTGTAGAGGCGAAACACGTGTCGTATTACCGTCGATGGTGTCTCTTTCCTGGAATAGTGGTGTTGGGAGTAGTGGTGCTGGGATTAGTGGTGACGGGATTGGTGCACGCAATTGAGGGAGGAAGGGAGGTGCTCTTCAATCCAGGTAAGACACATCATTGTATTTAGTTAGCGAAAGGTTGCAAATTAATTAATATCCTTATTATAATGGAATTCCGCAAAGTAACACCTGATTCTATCAATATAACTAATTTATTCAGTTAACTATTTACTTATATGGTCAGTTATGGGAAAGGTACGATTGCCCTAAATCAAGCTATGTAAAAAAGTTACGAGGTTGGCGGCTAAAGTTATCGATGACAGAAGTAAGTATGAAGACAAAATAGGAAGAACATTTATTTAATTTATTTAATAGGTCTAAACGATAAAATACTTGTGTAAAAAGTATGTCGATTTCCGTCAGGAGGTTAATTATTTACTAATAATAAAAGTGTGGGAGCGGGTGTTCAACTTGTTCTCTTTCTTACTCAATTATTCATTAAAGGGTAAAGGAGGGCGAACTTAATGCCTTGAGGCATTCTTTACCAGTCAACCCATGCATTACAACCATACCCTAATATAGCGCCTTCATTTTTTTATTTAGGTAATCATCAGCATTTCAACCGTATTTACTATACATAATAATAAGGTCAATAGAGATTACGCAATTTTTACAACATTAAGCGTGTACGTGTGCGTATGCGTGTGCGTGTGAGTGTGTGAGTGAGTGGGTGAGTGAGTGTGGTGTGTGAGTGTGGTGTGTGAGTGTGGTGTGTGAGTATGGTGTGTGAGTATGGTGTGTGGTGTGTGGGTGTGTGTGTGTGTGTGTGTGTGTGTGTGTGTGTGTGTGTGTGTGTGTGTGTGTGTGTGTGTGTGTGTGTGTGTGGTGTATGTGTGTGTATGTGTGTGTGTTCAACATCGCGTTTGTGCTGCTTTTCGATAGGTTGAAAATATCCAAGTCAACATAATACATTTTATATTTTTGAAAAATAGGACATGAAGTAGAATTTTTTGCGTAATTTGTGTTTACTCGTCGTGGTACGTGAAATAATGGCGTATGTCTATTTCGGTATTTAGGTATTAGTAACGATATTTCAGATAGAAGGTCTGGACAGTCTACATTACCAGACCATAAGCCATGTAGCATAAACATATAGTGTTGAAGTCGTCTGAGATCCAACGTAGAATCCACGGTAGAATTTGCAAACGTCATTGTATGCAGCAAAACTGTTATCTTTTGATAAGATAAATTTATTGATTAGTTTTTGAATTGATTCTATTCGATGCTTATGCTTAGCATATTGTTACGAGCTTGAGGTTCGTGAGGTTTGTCGTTTAGGTAATTTTATCGGCAATAAAAATTGCCGATTAAATTACCTAAATTAACACTTTAATTTTCTTTACACCAATTAAAACTTAAAACACTAAAAATTTATCACACTGATTCACTTTATTCCGCTCCGAAGCTTCGCTTGTCTCGCCAAATCCAATACTTCCCCGATCGCATCTTGCAGCGCCTATTTATATAAATTAGCAGCGGAAATATCCAGAATATTCAAGTAAACACGCGCAAGGTACCGAGAGTTCGTGTTTCAACTTCAAGAAGTTTAGTTCTTCGGTTCGAGACTAGATGGCGCTAGTGCCGTTGACTTGAGCGCGTAACACTGTCCCCTCCTAAGACATGCTCGTCCCGAGCATTATCGGTCCCATAATAACGCGCCAAGCGATCCACATGGACGATCTTAGGAGTCCCTCTTGCGCCTTTCTGTATCCGGTTCCGCAATGTCAAGGGCTGTCCTATCCCGTGGTGCACCAACATTGTACAATTTCGGTGCTCCTCTACTACGTGTCTGAGGTCCCCGCACGGCCGCACAACTTGTACATGTACGACACCAATCCTCGACATCGTCACGATAATGGACCCAGTAAAACTGTTCTCGGACCTTCAGTAGAGTTCGTTTAACTCCCAGATGGACTCTTGAACGACCATTATGGCACAGCTGTAGAACATTCGGCACTTTAGCTTTAGGGACAACCATTTGCAAACGACAGCTGTCTCCTCGACCATTGTCCCATTTACGGCACAGGACTCCATCCTGAATCAGCAAGCTGCCCCATTGGGCCCAATAGCTTTTCGTGGTTGAACTCATCGCTGAGACGTCCCTCCACTTAGGCTTGGTAGCACGGGCCTTCAGCCATCCCAGAATCGGCTTGATGTCTGGATCTTCCTGCTGTGCATGTCGTAGGCTGTCCTTCCACCCGTTGCTGAGGTGGTCTGTCCTGAGCATCCTCACGGATACCACTTCCTTACTCTCTTGCCTACTACAATGGTTGCAATCTTCAGGACAAGGTCTTCTTGACGATGCATCTGCGTTGCCATGAGATTTCCCGCTGCGATGTCTGATAGTAAAGTCGTATCCCGGCTGCTGCTGGGCGGTGATGTTAGCCGCACTTCCCTTCTGAGATCGTTCACCTTCCCTTTCTAGGGTTCGCTTAGGGCAGCTGGATCGAAGATGGCCCTTTTCCCCACAGCCATAGCACCTAGGGCTGAATCCTTTATTATGGTCGCGAACCGTAACTGCTGCAACCTCCCTAGCGCGAGGGGGAACGACGATCCGGCCACCGCCAGGCGGTGCCGTTAGCTGCACTACCCTCTCGAGATCGATCAACTTTCCTTTCTGCAGTTCGCTTAGGGCAGCTGGAGCGAAGATGGCCCCTTTCCCCACAGCCATAGCACCTAGGGCTGTATCCTTTGTTGCAGTCGCGAACTGTAGCTGCTGCAACCGCCCTGACGCGATGGGAACGATGGTCCTGCCGCACGGCCTCCACCTCCAGTGCATGGGCCAAGGCGTCCTTAAGCGTCTCGTGGTGCCCGAGCCTCACAGCAGCTCTGACTTCCAGGTCGTGGATGCCGTCGATGAATGTCTGCACCAGGTTCCCTTCAATGAGCGCAGGTACAGACCGGTATGCTTTTCGCACCAGCTTCTCCACCTCTAGAGCCCACTGCTGCAGGTTTTCGTTGATGCGCTGCGCGCGATCTTTAAGCTGCGCACGAAATACGTGTTCCAGGTGAGCGTCGCCATATCTCGCCTCCAATGCCTCAAGGAGCTGCTCATAAGTCACTTCCTAACCGAGAGCTTTCAGAACTGTTAAGACCTGGTCGCGCAGGCCTAGTGTGAGAGCAGTCATGGCCTGACTTTTATTCCAGCCGTTCGCCTTCATAACAGCCTCGAACTGGATTTTGTAGGCTGACCAGGAAGAGGTACCGTCGAACGGTGGCACCTTGAACCCACGTAGCGAAGGTGTTGTAGCTACTACGGGAGCTGTAGCTCCATCTCCAAGTTTGAGTTCGTCCAGTGATTTCTTCATGTCAGCCATTACGTTGTCAACCCGATTGTTTACTTGGTCGATTCGGGTTTCAGCTTCCGACAATCGGTTGTCATGTTGAGCAACCTTATCCTTCACCTCTTGTATCTCTTTTCCGAAGGTAGCGTGAAGGTCCTTCATGAGGAGTATCTGCTCTTCCAACCGACGGGCCTGTTCCTCTTGTCGGCGGGCCTGTTCATCCTTTCCGCCCCGCAGCTGTTCTTCCAACCGACGGACCTGTTCCTCCTGTCGGCGGGCCTGTTCCTGCTGCAACATCACCATCAGAGCACCTAAGTCGGGTGCTGCAGATGTAGGAGCTACTGACGGGCCTGCAGCCGGTGGCTGGCCCTCCGACGTCTGCGGCGTTGCACCACCAAATCTTCTCTGATCCGTCTCCTGCTGGCGTTGACTTCGGGTACGGACACCCTCCGTTTCCTCCTTAGGTAAAATCGGCATGATTTTATCCCACTTCTTACACCAATTGTTACGAGCTTGAGGTTCGTGACAATAAAAATTGCCGATAAAATTAACACTTTAATTTACTTTACACCAATTAAAACTTAAAACACTAAAAATTTATCACACTTATTCACTTTATTCCGCTCCGAAGCTTCGCTTGTCTCGCCAAATCCAATACTGCCCCGATCGCATCTTGCAGCGCCTATTTGTATAAATGAGCAGCGAAATATCCAGAATATTCAAGTAAACACACGCAAGGTACCGAGAGTTCGTGTTTCAACTTCAAGAAGTTTAGTTCTTCGATTCGAGACTAGATGGCGCTAGTGCCGTCCGACTTGAGCGCGTAACAATATTTTGGAGATCAGATAGAATTAGAGTGTAGAAGTTGAAGTGAGTGAAGTGACGCTTGAGTGGATTCAACGAGGTGGTAAAATATGTCGTGAGTATTGTACTTTATTGATTTTTGCTAGTATTTATATACCAAATTAATGTCTTATTAGTGTTTTCTTGTATTAAAGTAATATTTTTGAAAATACTAGTATATAAAGTCGACTTTTAAAAATACTATATATAGAATGACGCGAAACTAAACATAATTTTCTATTGCGTACATTATCGTTATTATGTTGTATTCTTTAAATACGAAATAGTCTTAGTGGTATTTGAGTACAATTATTCAATTTAAGATATAAAGTTTTATAAATTGTTCCTCGGATTATAACGGATTTTGGAAATAAAACCACCCGGTGAGTTTTTACCTTGTCGAATTACTTGTGCCACTTTGGTTGCAAGAATCATTCAAGTGTTTTGGTTTAGGGTTGGCGCTTGGATTTTTGGGCATGATATTTATTTTGTGTTTTTTGCAACAAATATTGTGGTGTAAGTGTGGTGTTGTGTGTGGGTTTTTTTTTCTTAATAATAATATCTTATTTTATTTCGTAACAAAAATTTTTGGAACAGCATCGGCACAGTGTTAGGTGGAAAAAAGAGAAGCTTTCAGTTAGGTGATGGTGATAGCTGAAGAGTTTTTTATAATTCCAGTTTTTTTAATTTATTTTTAATGTTTTTTAATATAGTGGACAAGCTAAAAGTAATAACGAAAAAGGACGAAGTAGAGGACGAGGTAGAGGACGTGGTAGAGCACTAGGTCGAGGCCAAGGTACAAGTCGAGGCCCTGGAAAAGCATGTGAAAGCAATGATTATGCAGTTGCAGCTCCTAGCACAAGGTATTTTAAAAACAATTGCTTTGTCAGTACCTAGTTATATGTTATGTTATTCATAAATAATTTTGACCAAACTTTCCTTTGAACATAGTTTATATTTTACAGCACCTATGGACAGGAACATGCAGCTTTAAAAAAATCAATGCTTCATACGAAGAAAATATTTAAAAAAATGATTCCGTCTGTGAAGGAGGAGCTGATAGCCAGAAAACGTTCGAAAGAAATTTCGCGGACCCTGCTTCCAGATGCACTACGACGTAAAAGGGCGCGGTAAGAATATCTACATCTATGAAATTATTGATAAGGGAGATTCGAATGAAGACATTATACAGGCTGTTCGTGTAAACACCGTTATCCTTGAAACCAGTGGTTTGTTTTCACTTGTAGAACGTAAATTCAATGAATTTAAAAAAAAAAACGCTATTTTCTTTCATAACATTTAAAAAATTTCTGTCCGATACCGTCCGTAAATTCATGGATACCCTATGCGCCCGAGTGACGTAATCACTGTAAAGATCACCGCCCGCGCTAGCTACCTACACAACATTCCAATAAAAACACAATAGGTACACATAACCTGTAATGTAACCTTTCTTTCATACTTTCATCCTGGCTTAGGACAGGCAAAAATTGAGGAATTGCGGAAAATTGAGATATTTATAAAAAAATGTTGTTATTTTTCATTGAATATACGTTCTATAAGTGAAACCAAACCACTGGTTTCAAGGATAACGGTGTTTACACTAACAACCTGTATGCAATATGTAACGTAATTAACGCACAACCCACAGACACCCCAATTAGTATATTATGTTATAATCATAGTACGTACACTGAATTTTTAGTTAAACATTTTTATGCACTGATTATTTATCAAATTAGTTATACTAATTCCGGAATAATGTTGTGGTCACAGTACAAATCCACGAACGCAAAGACTATGCTTGAAATAAAGTTCATTTTTCTTTATTTTTATTGAATGACGGAATTAGTAATAATACAAATAAAACTGCACTCTTAAAAGTCTTATTGCCTTAAGTTACGGTCCATTTCAGTTTGTTTTGACAGCAGTAGCAGTTTGTACAGCAGATTTAGTGTGTCTGTAATTTACGTAGTTTTGATTGTTTTTGGGATAAAAATTACCTATATTAAAAATGATAGGAATCGATTCAGTAACCGATTCTGAACTACTTTCTCAAAGTGCGTTAATTAGGTTACGTGTTGTATATTGTTTTAGTAAACAGCCATCTCCCGAGCGAACAGTTTGTCACGTGGTCCCAAGCATGCCTACTGTTCCACCAGCGCGTCAGCTGCAGACGGGGATTTTTAAATTTTCATTTTCTATAACTGTCAAAATGCAATACGGCAACTATTGATACATGTTTTTTGTAGAATGCAATCACCAACTCAACAGGTGCAAGAAGTAAAAGATGATTTCTTAACACCTGTAAGGTAATGCCTTTTGTGTTAAAGTTCACAAGATAATCCATTCTACTGCGACAAAAGTATAACTAATTTTTTTTTTGTAGTTCAATCGGCACTTCTTCTAACTCCGTATTTGATATTCAAGTTGATTGGACAACAGGCATATTGAGTAAGAATATAATTCAAATTTTTTGCAACTAAATCACTGTTAATTCATAGTAAATTTACTCTATTATAATAAATTTGTATTATTTTCATTTAGAAAGTCCGGAAGAGGAAACTGCTTCAGGTTTGCTACTGGTAGATGTCCCTAACTCATCCAAACATCCGACCGCCGATGTTCCGGTCGCTGTGTCAACCCATGTAAAGCCACTGGTTAAGCTTATAAATGAGGCTGTAAAAGGGAAAGGTTGGTGTTGAGCCATTTTATTTTACTATTAAGTAAAATTAGATAAGTGTAACAGACGTAATGTTTACAATTTTTGATTGAAGAGTAATCACTGGATCTTAATATTTATAAATTAATTGAGCAAGTAATATGTATATTCTTACAAAATAACAACTAATTGTACTTATTTTAGATTCTAAAGACCTGGATGAAAACTTAGCCAGGTGGCTGGAAGAGCAGTCCGACGAAGAAGAGTTAGAAGATTTGGACTTGCGTACAGATCGTGAGAGCTGTGGCGAAAGTAACCTAGCTCCAGCTCACATTCTAGACGAGTGTGACGCTGAGACACGCGCTTTTGTATCAGCCGAGGACAAAAGCTCTGACCAACTTATGGCACGACTTCTGCCACAGGACTGTTTGACGTTTAAATGGAGCTGCGACCGACAGACATTTACTGGTACCAGAGAGGCTTTTACAGGACAGGCAGGCCCAACTTTTATTATAACGGAAGAGACTACGCCAGTAGATGTATTTTTTAAATTTTTTGACGATCAACTTTTAGAATTAGTGACCTCACAGACTAACAGATACGCTACATTTCTTATTGACAGACATTTGACAGAATATTCGAGACTTAATAATTTAAAAAATGTAGACAGGAATGAGATGTACATTTTCCTTGCCATATTGATTTTTCAGGGCTTGGCGCCTATGCCAGTAGAAAAACAGTATTGGGAGGAAAATGGCCATCTCACCTTCAAATATTTTAAAAATATTATGCCGTACAACAGATTTATTTTACTCAAACGACTGCTCCATTTTACTGACTCTTATGTCTCCTCAACAAGACCACTGAAACATGATGAAATTAAACTCAGGAAGATACAGCCCGTGCTTGATTTATTGAAAAATAGATTTAGCACGCTGTATCTTCCTGGGCAAAACATCGTTATAGACGAATCTCTTTTGAAGTGGCCTAGAAGGTTGTCATTCGCACAAAAAATCGCTTCCAAAGCCGCCAAAGTTGGCGTAAAATCTTATGAGTTGTGCGAATCGGCAACCGGATATTTGTGGAATTTTTTCGTCTATAGTTGTGAACAAAGTAACGAAACTGATGGAACGGATAAGGCTGACAAGACTGGCCAGACTTACCAGACTGAACAGTCTGACCAAACTTACCAGACTGACCAGACTGACCAGACTTACCAGACTGACCAGATTTACCAGACTTACCAGACTTACCAGACTGATCAGACTGACCAGACTTACCAGACTGACCAGACTGACCAGACTTACCAGGCTGACAGACTGACCGGACTGACCGGACTTACGAGACTGACCAGACTTACCAGACTGACCAGACTGACCAGAGTGACCAGACTTACCAGACTTACCAGACAGACCGGACTGACCAGACTTACCAGACTTACCAGACCGACCAGACTGACCAGACTTACCGGACTGACCAAACTGGCCAGACAGGTACTATTCCGCCAATACCTGCTAATGCCATCGCAAAAATTGTTCATGGTCTGCTAAGGCCATTATTTAATCGGGGCCATACCATCATCATGGACAACTTTTATAATTCACCGTTGTTGGCTAGATACTTAAAGTCTCAGGGCACAGATTGCTTCGGAACTCTACGAGCGGACCGTGAGTTTGTCCCTGAGGCTGTCAAATCGGTGTCAAAGTCTGAGCTGAAGCAAGGGGAGATGGTTCAGAGTTTTTGTAAAGACTTACATGTTATGGTGTGGCGTGATGCAAATGTGGTTTCCATGTTGTCCACGTTCCACAAAGGTGTCGTGGATGGCAAGGAAAAATATGGTTTTTATAAATATAAACCAGAAATAGTTTTAGATTATAATCTTGCCATGGGAGGTGTCGGTAAGAAAGATCAGTTCCTGTCGGCATTTCCCATGGAAAGATCCAGAAATCAAGTCTGGTACAAAAAAGTTTTTAGACGGCTGCTCAATGTCACACTCTTAAATAGTTATGTAATTTATAAGACTAAACATAAAAATGTCACGCAACGGTGGTTCAGGGCCAATATAGCTGAACAGTTAATAAAAATAATGAAACCCCCGGTCATAGAACACCCACTTACTATAAAAACCAAAAAATACTTTTTTGGCCCAAAACCTACAAAGGTTCGTCCAATTTTGGAAGGGAACCACTTTGTAGGTATTGGGCCATCGAAGTACTTATCATGTGTTTGGTGCAAGAAGTCCCGTACGAAATATATTTGTAAGCAATGCGAGGTCTCACTTTGCTTGGAAATATGTTTTGAAGAATATCACACGGTTCCTGAACGACGTCATTCATCATAAACAAATGTTTATGGTGTATGACGTGGTTCAGGAACCTCGGTTTCCATCTTTGTTCCATTTTATTAAGTTGACTTGATTACAATTGACTGAGCTCTGCAATCTATGCCGTAAAAAAGATTCAACAACTTACAGACATTAAATTTACGATACCTAATGTTAAACATTCAAATACCAATGTGTTCTTAAATGGAGAAGAGTTGAGTCTTGTGGATACCACTGTTTTTCTGGGTATTACTATTGACGCGAAGCTTCAATGGGACCCCCATATATCTAAATTAGCAGACAGACGTAGTTTTGCAGCATATGCTGTAAGAAAGATTAGAAGTCTTACCAAAGTTGAGATAGCTAGATAAGTTTATTTTAGTTATTTTCATAGCGTAATGTCCTATGGAATCTTACTATAGGCGACTGACAGTGAAGTCATATTTGTTTTGCAAAAGACGATTTATAACTTAAATTGTAAAGATGCGCATAGAGAAAAAGTTAAGGAAATAAACATATTAACTTTGGCATCGCAATATATTTATGAAAATGTAATGTATCTACATAAAAACATAAATAGCTTTCATAAGAATACAGATGTTTATACTTTAAACACATTTATAAAAACCATAAATTTTCCTTTTTTTGATAGGAACAAACATAAGCTTGTAATACCAATTACTAGACTCCACAGAATTAGTAATTAATTTATGGAGCAATGTATAAAACTGTATAAATTGCATAAAACAAAATCCCAGAAAATGTACAAAATTTGTTATTAAACAAGTTTAAACGCTTTTTTAAAGAAAACTTGTACAAAAGGGTTATTATAATATAAATAAAAAATGACTTTCAATAAGTTTTATAAAATAATCTATATTGTGCCTAAATCGACGTTGTCAACCCGATTTGATGTGCCGAGACGCAATGTCAGCGTTTTTGAAAACGTATTTATCCAGATTTATTTTATTTTGTGTTATGTAATTGTGAATAAAACATAATTTACAAGTTTTCTAATGTTTTTAAATTTTCAAGATTTCGCCTGTTTATTGTATAGGTATACTTGATTGCATCGTGAAATATGTTTTCAGATTTAACAATTTAAGTAGGCAATGCGAATTGGCTGGAAATACGCCTTTTAATTTATAAATTACGACATGAATTTGCAGATAACTATTTATTTATTTTTAATTATGTAAAAGTAAATGAAACTCTCTTTACGTAGGTGGTTATATTTTTGGTCTACGTAATTAAGTTTTTATGTAATAACAGTCTAGATTGTAACTAACAAATAGCGATCAATTGTGCAATCCGTGAATTTTTCATCAAGTTTCACTTAATATTTTGTATGTTTTTAATGTAAATAGTTTTATATTATGGATAAATATATCAAGTAATTCATTAAGTTTAGGGATATAATAAATAATCATACACTTATCCATCTTATTTTTTTGCTAAACCCGATGTTTTACAAAAAGTCGCTAAAATGGCTTGTACTTATATTCTACTGCTCTGATATCACTACTCTGATATCAACACCTCTAAAATATTATTGTAATTATATTTTGATAAAATAACATACGTATTTTTTTCTTATTTCAATGGCTATTCATAACATTTAAAATATTTAAGCTCCTCTCGAGTAAGTCATAAATTAAGTTTTATTGACGGCGGGTCGAACGTGAGAAACACAGTCCCGACTTACTGGCAAACTAAGCTACCCTTTTTTTTTCGCAAGCAATCGAGCGGATAATAATACAGTTAAATAATGACCTTATTTAGATAGATATAGAAATTACACAATTTTTATCACCTAATCATTAAGCGTGTGCGTGTGCGTGTGAGTGTGTGAGTGAGTATGTGTATGTTTACAACATCGCGTTTGATGCTGCTTTTCGATAGGTTGAAAATATCCAAGTCAACGTAATACAATACTTATTATAATTTTGAAAAATACGACAAAGCAGAATTTTTTGCGTAATTTGTGTTTGCTCGTGGTACGTGAAATAATGACGTATGTCTATTTCGGTATTTAGGTATTGGTAACGATATTTCAGATAGAAGGTCTTGACAGTCTTTATTACCAGCCCATAGGCCGTGTGGCATACGAGAAAATTTCGGGAATCAAGGAAGTGACACAACATTACTACTCACCGGCACGGAAACTTGGCCACTCGTGAATTTGCTGATTATTTGCACTGAAACGTTTTTTAACAGTAAATTAAGGGTAGATGCATTCAATAAGTGTCTCTAATGGTTTTAGAACATAGAAATTTAATGTTTACTTCACCGAAATTTTTCTTTTCAAGATAACATGTTTTCACTAAAATTAACATCTTTCAATTGTCACTTTAAAAACACTACAAAGTTAAAAAATAAGTCTGTTTCTTTATTGTCTATCAGTTTTAATATCGGGTGTTTCCTCCTCTAGCCCTGATAACCGCTTGCATTCGATCTGGCATGCTTTGAATGATGTTTCTGACATCAACTTGCGGTATGCTGTCCCAAGCGGCCAGCGCTGCATTTCGGAGCTCATTTAGAGTTTGTGGCGGTTTGGAGCTGGACTTTATCTTTCTTTTGAGCATACCCCATACATGCTCAATTGGATTTAAGTCCGGGCTACGAGCTGGCCACTGTAATTTTTGTATTCCAACCTCTTCCAGATATTCCTCTACACAATGTGCGACGTGTGGGCGTGCATTATCGTGCATGAGGAGGAATTGGTCGTGTCCAATGAATCCCGAATAAGGCATTACGTGCTCCTGAAGAACTTCCTCGATGTATCGAGTAGCTGTAAGCCGATTATCGACGATGACCAACTCTGTACGTGCGTCGGAACTTACACCTCCCCATACCATTATTGAGCCTCCATGGAAACTCACAGTTTGGGTGGTGGTAATGGGTAGAAACCCCTCTCCTCTTTTTCTCCACACTCGTTCTCGACCGTCTGGAGCACGTAAAGCTATTCGACACTCATCTGTGAACAACACTCTAGCCCATTGCTCGTGGGTCCAATTGAC